GGAGTGAGGGAGCACGCGGGCTGCAGGAGCTTGTGCCCAGGGCCCTGCTCTGCCACTGGCTCTCCAGTGGGCATCACCCAGGTGTGTGTGGATGCATGGACTGACCCATAAGCATCAATGGGTCTGGAAGAGAGATGGTTCCAGTAGCACTTGCAGCTCTGGGAAAGGTCCCACCACCCAGCAAGAACTGCGGGTCACTGGCTTGATTTGAGCAGAGCCAGCACAGTCTGGCGGTTGTCATGGTCTGGGTGGAGAACGGGGAGCACCTTCCTCCCTTAGGGGCCCCATGATCTTTGCAGATGCTCTCCCATGGGGTCTGCACCTGCTTTCATGGCAAACTCAGCTGAAGCCACCAGGAGGTTCAAATGCCAGACTGGGAGCAGGCATCACATCTCCAACATGCATCAGCTGTGAAGGAGGCAGCCACCAGCTCCAGGGCTGCCACGTCCCCTCTCAAGTGCTCTGCTGCCTGCAGGAGGAATCTGTCCAGGCAGCACCAGCCACCACTACCACCCTTTCTCACCCTACATCCGTGGACATTGCACTTCCCATGGACCATGTTTTGAAACACATGGATGCAAGCAGTGTACACACCAGGGCAGGTGGGTACCCTCAGGAACACTGGGCTTAAATGGTGCATGTCTGTATGGAGAGATGCTTCTGTCCTAATTTACAGGCTTTTAAATCATATCCAAGTTCTAGATATCACACAGACTTTGCAACACGTTGACAGGGTCCTTTGCTGACTCTTGGCCAGAGCAAGGATTGAGCTGTGGGTAACATGGGCTCTGATTTACATTCCAACAAGGTGTTGCTGAGATGCTGGGGAAGGGATCAGAGTGGGGATTTCTTAGTCCTGCCTTGGTTTTGCCCTTGAAGATGGATGGTTTAAATAACAGCCATTTTTTGGCCACAGACAGGACATCAGCAGAACACATTTATCTATGGCCCTGGGGCTCTCCTTGTCCTGCAGGGAACAGCAGAGCCCTCGGGGAGGAGTTTGGGGGAGCAGAGGCTGGGAAGTGATGATGGGAACCTGAACTCTGTGTCAGAGAGCACCATGCTGTCAGCACATCAACTGGTGTTTGTGACAGGGAAGGTCTGAGCTGTGCTTTCCAAGGTGGGTTTGGTTGTGTCCCCTGTCCCCTCGGACACACCTCATGGCTGGCAGGCAGCCTTCAGCACAGGAGTGCTTGTTCCCTTGTTCAGTGGGGACAACCTGGAGAGGTGACAACAGTGATGGGGCAGCTGGGCACCATGGCATGGCCGCAGGCAGCTGCCTTCGAAGCTCTCCAGGAGCATTTCCCAGGAGCAGACACAGCTTCTTCCAACCTCAGCCAGCGCGGAGATTTCTCAGAGCAGCACAGGGCAGAAGCAGCGATGGGTCCCTCTGCTCCTTTTCTCTGTTTCATCGCCGCAGGGAAACAACTGCTCCATCTTTTTTAAAAAAAAAGGAATTTCTCTCGGAGCAGCTTTGCTCGATGCCTTCACTGGCTTCTCCGGGGGCTGCTGCCTGACCCACTCCGGGCACAGCTGCTCCCACCACCTCCACCTTCCCCTGCCCCTGCCTTGCACACCTCTCCCTGCCTTTCATCCCTCTCCCACCCTTTCTTTTCCCTTCCCTTTCTTCACACTCCCCAGAGGCAGAGCTCAGGCTGCTGCAGGAGAGGGAGATGCAGACCTCCGGGTTCTCAGTGCTGACAGTGGCTTTCTCTGCTGGTTCCCAGATGACTGGTCACCATTGCCCCTTGAGGTGGGGCAAAATGAGGGAGAGAACTTTCCCCTGGCCTCCGCTCCTCCTCACTCTCTGTGTCTTTCCTGTGCCCCCTCCTTTGTGCTTGGCAGGGAGCCCTTTGGGGATGGGTTTGGGGCAACAGGAACAGCCTGGCTGGACAGGGTACCATTTCTCTTTGCAGAAGCAGCTTGAGAGCTTTGGTGGTTGAACAGGAGACAACATAAAGAAGAAAAGCATCCAACAGGTGGCAGGTGTTGAAATTCTCCCTTGGAGAGGTCTGTAAAGCAGCTGCCTCGGGGCGAGGATGAAGGATGCCATGGACAGAGCTCAGCAAGCCCTGTGCTGAGACACCTCAGGAGGTCCATGCATGGGGCAGTGGCTTTGGGGACAGTGGGACTTCTTCCCTTTTCTTGCCTGGCTTCTGTCTCAGCTCATCTTGTGGCATCTCATGCCAAGAGATGTGGACCACCCTGTCTTGGAAGGAGGACAAGGAGGCTGGAGGGTGCTCTACAGCGTGGTCATTGCATCATCACCCAAGGAGCCATATCGAGCTCTCCGAGATCCACGGTGAGGCCCCACCAACCACGGGGCATAGGGTGCTGCATCTGCAAGGGAGGTACCTTGGAGATGGAGGGGCCTAGACCTTTTCCAACTCTCCTTTTCTCCAACTGCAGTGAGTTTGCATCTGGGAAGTGTTTAATTTAGACAGGCCAATGCTGCTGTATCACATTTCCTGTGTCAGTCTCTGTTGGTTTACGACCAGTGAAATCCTGGTGTGAAAACAGAACTGGGCTTTGATTTCATCTGCCCCTGCTGGTTTATGCCACTAACAACTTTGCATTTCTACAGCAGCTTTTCTTCTAAGCGCTAAACAGGCTTCACAGACAGGCAATTAATTAATTGAGCCTCCCCAACCAGCCTACGCCCTCAACGCCATGAGGAAGCATTTTGCGGAGGCGGAAACAGAGGCAAAGAGGAGCCAAATGACTCGCCCCAGGTAAAGAGATGAACTCACTGCTGATGTGCTGCCATGGAGATAGTCATGATGTCATTTAAACTGGTGTGGGGACTGGTCTCAATTCTGGGAGTGATTGAGGAAGGTCTTTTAGTGTCTATTGGTGACTGCTATCGCTGGAGCATCTGAGCCCAAATTAACTCATGAACTGCCATCGCCTTGGACCATCCCAGCCTTTTGCTGAGGAATCCCCTGAGGCCATGAAACAGTGCCAGGAGGCCCTGCCACCATTTCCCCCATCCATCCTTGCTGACCAGCTCCTGTTTCTCCAGGAGGCACTCAGGGTTTGCAAGGGAAGTTGGGTTCGGCTGAAGGCTTTGCTCTGGTCCAGGAGATACAACTGAGATCTAGGGAGGGTTCCATCACTATGTCATGGAACAAGAGAGGGGTGATCCTCAGCTCCCCTTTCCAGGTCCTGCTCAGTGACTGGTGAGTAAGACACAGCCCTGGGAAGCTGTGTGCTGTGAGCAGGATCTGGGGCACCTGGAGGAGGTGGAGACATGTGCCTTTGCTCACGCAGAGTGAATATATTCCTGGGGAAATTGCCTACCTTTTATTATGAAACCCTGCTCATGGTTTGTTGTCTACACACGTCTAACCACGGGGAAGGAACTCGTGCACTTCCCAGCCTGCTCCGTGTCTTCCTGGCTCAGCTCCCTTCTGAACAAACACAACCTTTTGCAAGAATAACTGTCAAAATCGCTTTGAAATACCGAAATAACAGGATGGGATACGGTTTGCTCCTGGGCCCTAGTGCTCCTGTCAGGACTCAGGGTGTCCATCCAAGGAGATTTGTGAGCAGGATGCAAGGGAAAAACGCTGGCAAGCAGCAGGGCCCCAAAGGGCTGCATTTGGGGAGCTCATGACCTCACTGTGCTGGTTCTCTGGGCTCCCACACACTCACTGGGGGAGCAGAGCAGCTCCCTGACCCTCATGTGGTCCCTGCTTCATGTTGGTCACAGGGTGAGACATGGGGGCTTGAGACTCAGCTGGTGGTAATCAGGGCAAAAGCATGTCCTTTGGCCACCAGCATGGCCTGGGATTGCCTTCACAGCTTCCATAAATCCCTTCTCCTCCTCACCCCATGAGTAGGGCATAATCTCTGAGTATTTTAGAGATGGGGCAAAAAGCTGTTAAGTCTTGGCCAGGTTGGAGAGCAATGGTTGAAAAGCACGTAGCTCCTTGGGTGAAACCAAGACATGAATACATGACCATCCCCTTCCCTTCCAAAGTCCCAAGGGCTGTTCAAGGGTTCCCCAGGGTGTCCATCTTCAAAGCCACTCATGAAACGGGAGCCAAACTGGCCTGTGAGCAGTGCTGGGGCTGCAGGCAGGAGATGCTGCCTGAGGCTGCGTTTGGGGTTATCTGTGGGTAACCTGCTGGACATGGGGTGGTAGGAGTGCCAGGAGTGAGGGGCAGCACCTCTGGGCCAGGGTCTCTGCCTACTGTAATAGCTCTCAATATGGACAAGCTATGAATGCTTAGTGTCTTCTCCTTCAGCAAAATCACCCCTCAATGATGTCCTTCTCTGGAAAGTGGCAAGAGGATTTCTGCTCTAACCCTTCACTAGCTCCCCATCCTGCAAGGTAAGGGATTAACCCACCCCAAGGACCACCACTCTCCATATTTGTCTGTTTAGGGGGAGAAACCAATACCTTTTAATTTGCAGGAGAAATCTCATTGCTTGGTGGCACCTGCTCAATCAAGAGGCCTTGACTTTTCATCCCCTTCCCTGTTCTCAGCAGTGATGGTCTCCCACCTGGAATAAGATGGGGAATTCTGCTATTCTGGGGATGTGCCCTTTTTCACAGCATACTTGGAAGTGATGAGAACTTGGATACAGACACTTGTTGGGAGAAATCAAAACCAAACACTTAGAAAGCCAAACACCCCCTCACACACCTCCAAAAATATATCCCATCAACCAACCAACTGACCAATCAACCAACCACCAAGAAAGTCCTTCAAACCAAACTCCATCTCTTTCTCTAAAATCCATGATTAAAATCTGGTACAAACAGGTGAATAGAGATATATATATATATATATTTTTTTTTTTTTAGTAGATGTAGTATTATTTTTTTTTCTCCTCTCTCTTTCTCATTATACAGCAAACATTGCAAATATAGAAATTTTCTCTGTACAATTAACGACTTCGGTTTACAATGCAATGTGTGGTAAAACCTCCCAGTGAGTGAAAATGTGAACGGGCCTTCAACCGGGTAAAAGTCTAAACTGGAAGACTCCGTTTGCAAAAACAGCCCAAAGGATGGATCTCCTTCTGGTCTCTTTTTGGTTTTTTTTTTTTGTTGCTGTTTTTGTTGCTGTTGATTTTGGAAGGGAAGGAAGGAAGAACACAAACTGTTCACAAAGAATCCACAAAATCACGGAATAGGGACTCATGCAATGCAATATTGGGAAACGCCAGACCTCAGCTCTCTGCCCGCTCTTTCACTTTCTTTTTATATTCAATTTTTTCTTTTTTTCTTATTTTTTTTTAAAAAAATCAAAATGAAACAAAACTTTTTTTTTTTTTTTTTTTCACTCCACAGTTTGTTTGTTTTGTAAAGTTTGTGTTCAAATTTGGTGCGTGTCTCACCAATGTGAGGACATTTTAATATCTCACTTTATATATTATATAGAATATTTATAGATTTTTCATAATTCGTTCTCTCTTTTATTTTTATTGATTTTTTTTTTTTTTTTTAATTTTATTTTGTTTCAAAGATAGTCTGAATAAAAATAGCTGCTGCGGATTTCTTTTGGTCCAGTTAGTGTGTTAAGTCACGAGTTGTATGTGAGGACTCAGGACTTCTGCTGGGCAGAGACGCCCTTCCAGTAGTCTAAGATGTCATGAAGATCCTCGTCTTTGGCAAACTGGACCTTTTTGCGTAGGGCGTGGCCGGCTGCCATATACTCCTCCTCGTCTTTGTGCCGCTTGCGGTTGAGTTTGAAGCGCTCCCAGATGCTGTGCGATGGTTTGCAGGTGTACTCTGGGCTGGAGGTGTAGCTCAGGTTGTGATATTGAGGCGAGAGCTGGGAATAGGCCAGGTCTCTGGGGCGAGGACGGGTCAGAGGTTCCAGGATGGAAGGCTTTCGCCCCGCCATGCTGTCGTGCTGCTCCCCTTGGTGCGAGCCGGGGTACGAGTGACGGTGTTCACTGTACTGACGGATCTTCTCCGCCTCTGCCCGCAGGATGGCCGCAGCCGGTGTCACAGTGAGGATGGTGTCGGTGGTGGGGGACGTCTTCTCGATGTATTTGGCTTCTGATTTGTGGCCCGATCCCTCAGAGCGGTAGGACCTGGGGCTCCGTATAGAGCCACTGGAAGAGGTGCTGGAGCGTTTAGGGGCTGCCTCCATGCTGTGGTGCCGCTGGAGAGGGTGGCTGTAGCTTTCCTTGTAGACGGGGGAGAGGAATCCGTGCTTGCTGGGGATCTGCTCTGATAAGAGCACCAGCTGAGGCTCCACCGTGGAGACTGCCCCCGATTTCACGCCTTGGAAGGAGGTGGACTCAGATTTCAAGGCATCGATGCAGTTGTTGATGATCTGGTTCACTTTGTCCACCTCCTTGGCAATGGTGGAGATCTCGGCCACGGAGCTCTGGGTGTCTGGCGGCAGGGACAGCTCACAGTCTCGCCTCTCCGGCTGCTCACCCGTCCTCACCTCCATATAGTTGCCCTTGGTTGCCTTGGGGGTCTCACTGCTGTCAATCAGCTTGTACTGCTCAACCTCACCAGCAGAAGGCAGGTAGGGGATGCGGGTCACCGTCTCCCCACCCAGTATCTGTCCCTGAGACAGCTGGGTGATGCTGGTGGTCTCCATTTCTGGTCCATATTTCAGCTCAATGATGGTCTTCTTCATGCTGCCAGCAGCCTTTTTGTGCTTCTCCTCCTGCTGGCGCCTCTTCCGGAGACAGTAATACACAACGCCCAGGACAATCACCATGCCAAAGAGACAGCCCAAGATTGTCATGATATAATGAGTGGCAGTGGAAGGGGTGGGCACTGGCTCCTTGCGGTTGGGTCTGGTGGGTGTGATGGTGACACAGGTGTGGTTGTACTTGGAGTATTGGTGGACAGAGACAACACAGTAGGTGTAATCTCTTTGTGCTACTAGGTTGCTCACGGTGATGTTCTCCTCCTTCTTCCTGAGCTTGGTGATCATAGAGGAGAAGCCATTTTCGAACTGGGAGAGGATGTACATCTTGCTGAAGGGGTAGGGGATCTGCACGGTGAGGACGGCTGAGTTGTGGTTGAGGTGCTTCACCTGGATGTTGGGGCGCACCTCCGTCTCGCCGATGGGTGTGAACAGGGAGAACTGCGGTGTCGTGCCATCGCCAGAGGAGCACTCCTCCTCAGAGCAGGGGCTTTCAGAGGGTGCTGTGGTCACCTGGTACCTGGGAGGGATAAAACGAGGAATCACAGTGTAGGAGCCACCGGTGCAAAGGGAAGAGAGCATGCTCAGAGCATTGCGATAGCCAGTCCGGCCTTGGCCCAACAAGTAGTAGCCCGTGTAGTCGGGCGGGGAGTCGCACTGCATCCGGTCATACGTGCGTGTCATGTTGGTGAAAGCCTCCAGCCATTGCAGGAAGCCGAGGAGCTCGCAGGAGCAGTAGAAGGGGTTACTGTAGAGTTCACAGACAGAGAGCTTGTTTAGGCCCCGAAAAGTGTTGCTATCGAGTCTCTGGATCCTGTTCATGGACAGGTCAATGTTCACTATGTTGGGGCACTCCCAGAAGGCATTGGGGGTGACAGACTCGATGAGGTTGGCCTGGAGATAAAGGTACTCCAGCTTCCCCAGGCCCCGGAGGATGCCCTCAGTGAGGTTCCTCAGTCGGTTGTAACCCAGCTGCAGCACCTGGAGGTTGAACTGTCCTGAAAAGGCACCGTCCTCGATGTAGGAGATCTCGTTCTTCGTCAAGTTGAGGTATGTCAGGTTGCCGAAGCGGCTGAGCGAGGCATACTGCACGCTCTTGATCTTGTTGTCGTTCAGCCGCAAGTCCACGATGGTGCTGTTGATTTGCTGGGGGATGGACTCGTAGGGGGGCTGGTTTTGGCTGCAGATGGCCAACCAGACGAAGCCCTTGTCCCCTTCAATGAGCCAGCAGTCTGCCCGCACCCCAACGGCGTGCAGGAGAGAGATGGCTGCCACGCACATGCAGAGGGCTGGCGTCGCGGCCCACCGGCGACCTGCCATCTGGAAGGGTGGCACGGAGAAGGGGTTCCTGGTCTGCTGGAAGTGGGGAGCAGGACAGGGGCCAGGAAGACGTGGGCTAGTGCTTCTTCGGCAGCTTTGTGCTCCTCTCCTTTCTCCTCATGGTTTGGAGATGGAGGGGAAGCATCCGTGGAGAAAGTGGACCTCGGTGCCCACGGTACTCAGCAGCCACCGGCCAGGGGCTGTTACCAAGGCCTGGGTGGCTGAAGCTGGTCCCACATCACCAGGTCTCTGGCATCTCAAGGAAGGAGTCATGAAGTTAGGTGTCCATGTGGAGGAGTTCCTCTGGCTTAGAGACAAGCCTTCCTCTCACTTTTTATAGTACATCTCCTCATTTTCTTTTTGCTGCCCATTGTGACACTGGTCCCCATCTCCATGTGCCTCTGCAGGTCTGGCTGTTCCCACTCGGTCCCTTGGCTCACCTGAACAAAACAAAACACAAGCACAATCTAAATACAAAGGATAGACAATGAGTGCCTAGCAGCGCTGGGGTGGCATCCAACTACCCTCTTAATGTTAGGCACTTGCCTTCTAACTCTGGCTACCACCTTTCAAAGAGCCTTTGGTTTCTTTAGGTGCTGTTAACAGTGGTGTTTGGCAGCATGAGGGAAGGTGGCCATTGACCATGGAGGTCACCCTCCTTTGAGCACGTTGTCCAGCCTCACATTATAGGCCAGGGAGAGACCAATGCACATCCAGGGCACCATTCATCTGACCTATTTAGGTATCTACCTTAGGAGGGGAGGAGTGATGCCCCAGAAGTGTCTGTTCCTCTCTGCTGAGAGCAGATGAAATCTAGACAACTTGCTCTGATGTAGATTTGATGCTGCAGCATTTTGCTGAGGGGAATCCTAACTGTCTCATGTGCTGGTGTGCGCAGCAGCGGTGCTCACTGCTGGGGATGCTGACTGAGGACACCGTGTCTCGCCGACTGAACCTGCACAAGGGTTGTCTCTCTTGTCCCAGGGCAGACCATAGGATGCAGGGAAGACACCACTAGCACTCCTCAAAAACACACATGGTAGGAACTGGAGGTTTCTTGGGCATCCATGAAGGAGACAGAGGCAAATCTTATATCTAAATTGTCTTTCATTGGATCTGCAAAATAGTATAAATCCAGAAACTGGTTTGAAAACCATTTCCAAGAGCCTAGGCAGTGAAGGGACTGTGCTGGGTGCTGCATGCCTGAAAATCACGAGGCTGATCGTCAAAGGGCGTTTAGAGGCAGATGCCACAGCCTTGCCCTTGTCGTGAAGACACCAGGTTCTTTTCCACCCGTAATACCAGGCAATGAAGCAGACCATGTTTCACTGCAGAGACCCCTGTTAACCATTCACAGTTTGTACCTCGACAAACAGGCCAATAATAATAAGCAGTAAAACAGTTCATCTGTTCTCTCTGTGAACAACGAGTCTATTCCCTGGTGGCACCGTTGGGTTTCCGTTACATGAATAACAAGATCTGCTCTTGCGTCAGCTCTCTGCACATGAAGTTCTCTGGCCACCTTGTCCTCCAGCAGACACCCCACCAGCTGCTCGAGGAGGTGAGGCTGCGGGGGAAGACAACAGCCAGAGCCCCAGTGTCCCCAGGGAGGGCAGGGTGTGTGGTACACCCTTCCTGCAGACTGCACTGTGGTTGTGCAGTCATGCGTGGGTGAGATGTACTGGCCCCACGACGATGCTTCCATAGGGACCTGCCTGGGGACGTTGCAGGTCTCTCTTTGCTTCCCCAGTCCCTGGTGCTGTCCTATCCCAGCTACATTTGGCAGAAAGCTCAACAAAAACAGGTTTTCAAAAGTTTATGAGAAATGAGGCTTGGGTGGAAGGGGTGCTGAGGGCAAGGCAGCTGAATCTCAGGTCTCCTCCTTCCTGGGGGTAGAAACCTGGATTTGAGCACGCTTTTACACTGCTATTCCAGCTGAAGCCCTTTCATCACTGCACTGATACTGATATTGTGGGTAACCCCATTTTGGGGAACAGTACCTGCTGCACTGGCAGGAACGTATTCACAAGGATCCTTCCCTGGATGCTTTGACCTGGCAGCCCATTTTGGCACAGCTGAGTCCTTGGAGCCAGCGAGAAAGGGAAGAGGGACTGTGCTCCCTGGGATGCTGCAGGTGAGTGTCCCCGCCTTTACCACCTCCCCAGCTGATGGGGAGAGATGGGCTGCAGTGCCAGGCTGGAGACATCTGCTGCTATATCCCTCCCAGCACTGGGCAACTCAATTAACCTCTCTGCACTCCAGTCTTCTCTCCATTACCATCAGACAATCATAGCGCTCCACAGGCCTGTGGGAGACTGAAGAAAAGTGCCCTGAGCTCCTCTTGTTGGGATGAAAATCCCAGTAGATGCTTTGTGCTGTAGGTGGAGACTTTCTCCAGCTGCAAGCTGGGCTCTAGATGTGTCCACTGTCCTCTGCCACAGGGACCAGCTTGGTCCCCAGCTCCCTTGGTCCCCAGCTCCTCAGACTGCCTCCTGGGTGGGTGCACATCGCCCCTAAGGGTGTGGGAGAAGGGTGATCCTGGCCTGAAGAGCCATCTTGCCCCAGTTGTCCATTTGGGATGGCACAGAGGGTGCTTTCCTTCGCTGCTGTCCCACAGTGTTTGCCCTTGGTGTGACCATCTCCCTGTTCTCCTCCATGGGTTTGTGCACTATGGGGAACTCCCACAGCAGGGGAAGCCCTGACAAACTGAGACAGCACAAGGAGCAGGGAGTGATGCATCCTGGCACATTCTTTTTAGCAAGCACTCATTCTGTCTCCTCTAACTCTCATTTTGACCCAACCATCCTCTCTGGACAAGCTTGTGTTTGGGATTGTTCTGTGGAGCCAAACCAGCCTTTTTCTTCCAGAGGAAGGTTTCTTGTCTCTCCTCCCTGAGGAGGCTGTGGGTTCCAGCCTGTGTCAGGGGGCATTAGCTAGTGGAGCGGGACCATCCCTTGAGCAAAGAGCAGAGACAGACCCTCCACAGACCTTGCCAGGCTGAGCCCCTGTAGCCTTCTCATCACCTTTGTGCCTCCCTCATCTAATTGGGGGTGTCAAGGGTGAAGAAGAGCAATGGTAAATGGCTCAAACACGTTCAATAAGGCTCCTGCTGTGTGTTTTCTCTTCTTTCCTGTACGTTGCCTATCAGGCAACTCCTTCCCAACAACAGAAAGGAGAAAAGGCATTTTATCAGCAGCCTGAGTTTAATTTCAGCTCATTAAAGCAAGCAATTTGCTGCTTTATTTGCTTTGCAAAGTGTGAATACAATGACAGCATCAAGGAGATGTAAGAGAAGATAGAGGGGCTAATCTCCCCTTTTATTAGATCGCCAGGACATGACTGGGGAGTGGAGAAGTGAGTCTTGTTGCTTTGCACGGAAGGCAAAATTGTTCATCTTGTTGGTTCCTGAAAGCCTCCTTCCCAGCACCACGCTGACACGGCTGCGCGTGGGCGTGCGCCTGCGCCGAGCATCTCGCGAGGCAGGACGGGAGCAGGGGCACTCACAGTGCTTCCCGACTCATCTCCCTCTACCAGCAGATAACAGGGTAACAGACATCCAGGAGGCTTCTCTTTCTTCCTTTTTCTACCTTTTACCTCGCCTCTAATCTCTCTTTTCTGCTTCTGAAATCATGAGCTTGATTCTTGCAGGTCAGAAATAGAGCAGCCGGTTGGCCGAGGAACCTTGGCTGTCCCTGGCCTCCTGCAGCTGGGACGGGGCTCTGATAGGAGCAGGAGAGACCCCCCTGCCTCTTCCCCACAGACTGGATAAAAATCAGTAAGAAAAGCTAGTGTTTTAACCCTCCTGCCTGACTGCTTTGTCTCTGCCCAGCTGTCCTGGTTTTATTCTCCTGGTAACCCAATTGCACTCCACTTTTCCTGGTCCTCTGGCTCTCCACAGAGCTGCCTGGGAAAACCTGGGAACAAACCACCAACAACTCTAATGTGAAAAACAACCAAGAAGGTGGAGATTTGGGGTTCTCCTCCACTGATGGAGAAAGAAGCAGAAGAGATGAATGAAGGTGGTGTGGAATAGCAATAGCAACGATTTGAAATGGTGAATTTAATCTAAACCAGAGATACTTTGAACATTGGCACCATGTGGACAACAACAATAGGCCACGTCTGTGGGAAGCCATAGTTCTCGCCAAGTACCTTGCAAGAAATATCATTCCTGCACGAAGTTACCTGTCATTGCTGTATTTCCTTTTCCTTCTGCTTTCACAAAGCAGCATGGTTTGTCCAGCTCAGATGATGTCAGACTTATGTGGCTTACAGGGGCCAGCAAAGAGGCAACAATAACTCCCTCACTTCTTGATGCTCGTATGCGTTTTCTCTGATCTCCAGTATCCCTGTTGGAGCCTGGATACATGCTTTGCCCTCTTGATCCTCAGCCCTGACCTGTGATGCCCTCCTCTCCTACCTGTCCCTGCTTCTCCAGCCCTGGTCTCCACCAACAACCCAACATCAAAGAGAGACCACTGTGATTTTGTGATCTCTACAAGACTGCAGCCTGCACTGCATGAGCAGCAGCAACCTCATCCTGGCTGAAAACCCACAACAAGGGAGGTGGAAAAGAAAAGGCAAAGCTGGGGCTCCAAAAACCAGTGCAGGCTGGGAAGTTTTTGCTTCCATCTCCCAACTAATGGCATCTCAGCAAATTAAACCAGAGCAGCAGCTGCAAGGGAGCAAACAAAGCAGCCGTGGGGGCTGGGTAGGTAGAGGGAGAGCGAGCTGGGCAGCACATATAATAATATGCTGTCCTGGCACTCAATTCCTAATTTTGTTATTCTACTGAATAAGTTATTTCAAACTGTGGATTAGATTTACTGAGTGAAGGCAAAGAGCCAGATTAACATGTGCACGCGTGTGTGTGTGCGTAAACACACACATATACATACAGACATACATACAACAGTGCTCCTCTCCGTGGCATTTCTGCATCTCCGTAACTACATCTTCCCTAGCTGCTCCCTCTCCAGCTGGCCGTGTTTCAGCTTCTCTTAGACCCT